ACGTCTTCTGGAGTCCTGCCTATTCGCCTCTATGTAAACCAGGAAATATTAAGAAATTGTATGAACCCCTGTATGCTGATTGAATACAATCACTAGGCTAACTAAGATAGAAGATTATGTCTGTGTAAAAAGTGCTGTCGTTGTCTGGATCATGGGATCAATGCCAATATATAGTCCTCGCCCTCAGCTGAGGCCTTTTTATTTACAGTGTTGTAATAATCTTTATTGAGTGGATACAGTTGTGAGTGTGTACTATACAACCAAGGATCACATCAGTTGTATCCAGTTTTTACAGTTTTTATTATATACCTTATTACTGCAAGTAGGAATAAGATTTATAATAATACAGTTATCATGAGAATTCCACAAAGTATGTACTACGCATCGGCCAATGTAATCACCGTACTGCCTTTGTGCAAAGTATTCTCAAGATAACCTAATATCATTACATGGTTTGCTTATTGGGTTTTCATTGCTCTACGAGAATAGGAAATACAAGGTTACTAGTAATTTTTACTAATTTTTAGGTGACCATTAATTCCTCCTGGTAAGTTAGCAGAAACTGGATGGCTAATAAAGTTCAGTTATGCCAAGGCATTATTTATTGCAACGAAATACTAAATTTTCAGCAAAATCAATACTTAATGACCTTCCACTTCTCCGTTTGTCTTAAAAAGTTGGCTTTAAAAAATTCTTGTTCATTATTGATCATTTGAAATCTGTTACCAGTTTACATTAAATTGTTTTATTTATTTTATTTCACTTTTTGCTATAACCCAATGTAAAATTATTTACAAGAAGGAAATAAAGTTATTATTGTCATTATTATTATTTCAGAGATAAAACAAATATGTCGTGGTATGAGTATCTTGTATCATGTTTCTGGCAGAGTCAATTCACTGTCTACATAATTACAGCATTGATCGCTACTCTAGTCAGTTTACTGATCAATAGAAGACAGAAATCCAAAGACCTACAGGTACTGAATTTTAGTATTTGTACATATTGTGTTTCTCAGACTTACTGTAACTATTTGCCACAGTTTTATTCTGTTTAGTGATTGTAGATTGAAGTAAAATACTGTAGAATACTTTATTTTAGCTGGAATTAATTTTCGCTGAAAACACGTGTTTTGTATGGAATTTATTCTCACTGTTTTTTGACAAGTTGAATGTAAAACATATGAAAAAATGTATATTCGCTGGATTTTATTTTCACTGAATCATCCTTTCACCGAAAATAGCGAAAATTAATTCCAAGCGAAAATAAAGTATTCTACAGTAGGAGAAAAACAATTTTCATCAAGTCATCTTTTTTTTTAGTATTACTGTCACTGCCGTATTGTTCCAAACACTCAAAACAGCAACATTTCTATGTAAGCTGCAGACTGGTTTGTTATGAGCTTCTGAAGATTATTTCACATTCAGAACAAGGTTGGGTCAAACCTACCTCAACAGGAAATCCCAAACTAATAGTGGGGGTTGGGGATGTGAATAAGCGAAGATCATGATCCAATTACCTTTCAGTTTATTTCATCCAATCGTATAAATTGTTACATGATGTATGTATTTACCGACGCAATCTGAAATGACATGACACAGTCGTAGGTTTATCTAATGCATAAATGCGTATGTTTAGTCGAATGGCCACCCTCGAAAAAATTGTTTGATTTAATCAGTTCTAATCAAAGTATTGATCTTGAGACATGCTTTAATAGAAACTAGTCAGCAACGTAGCTGGCAATATTGCTGTTTCAGTAGTCAGAACAATATGGCGATGACAGTAAATTCAATTATTGAAATCCCATTATGTATAATTTCTTACTGTGTATTGATCGCCTTGGAAATGATAATCTAACTATAATATGAACACTATGTATTTTCCAACTTCGTACTTTTCCTTGCAACAAGTAGTACCAGTTGTTAAAAATGTCTCTGCTAAACAATTAGTGCATACCATAAAAAAACAATACTTTTTACGTATGCCTTTCTTAGTTATGTGCTTAGAACAAATATGCTGTATCATATTTTACAGAGTACAGATAGAATTATTCAAAAATCAAGTGTCCCAGATAATAATGTAAAGAAAGGTTTGAAGATATTTTATGCATCTCAGACAGGGACAGCTAAGGTAACTATGACAACCATTGGTGATTATCCAACATATTTTTTGTTCCTGAACTTTTTAAACATTTTTTTTAAAAACATATTGCCTTCATATTTGTCACGTTGCAATCGTGGTGGAATCAAGGTTTGTTCATTTCATGGAAATAGCTTGTACTATATTGGTGGCTGCTTGTAACTGACGCTACCATTATTGATGAATTTTCATATCTTTATGCAGAGTTTCTCAGAAAAATTGAGCAACGATGTCAGTACATTTGGGGTGAGGTCAGAGGTAATTGACCTGAGTCAATATGAACCCGAAGATAATCTGGTTGAAGAAGTAAGTTTAAGTTATACTTATAAGTCTGGCTCTAGAGGGTGATAGATTAATTAAACCACTTATGCTAGTCAGGTTCAGCAACGTTGAAGATGCATTGTTAGGTAAAGCCAATCATTTATGTATGTATGACCCCCTCTAGAGGCGATGTACAGAGATTCTTAGTGTACAATTTCAGTTATCACACTGATTCGCTGGTTCTCGGCGTCCTTTGTGAATGGCAAGTAGGACGCAGGTAACTACTAATCGGCATATTGTTCCACTGGGCCGGAAGACCTGTGACTAAGTGACGTAATTTGAAAACATTCCATGTTCCGTTCTGCGTACACATGTCTGTAATACTACAATAAAGCCATGCTCATACATTCTGCCTGCTTAGATTTACATATTTGAGATGTTTCTGACATTCCTCTCTGTTTCTGTGCAAATTAATTACAAAAGAAACAGTTATTCGCCCAACTTTCGAAAGTAAAAGGAAACGCCTGAACGGCCACAAGCGTAAGCACTGACGTCAGGTAACCAAGGGAAATAAAACAAGCAACGAGAAAGTGATGGACCAATCAGAATGCCGGAACCGTTACTAGTTACCCGCCTCTTGTGGTTTGGTACGCCATGACACTTGAGGCGGGAACCAGCCAATTACACTGATCGTTTGTGTTTCACATGCATATATAATAAGTCTTCACCTCTAGAGGGGGCTATAACTTAGTTAATATTTAGTGACTGTAGAAACAAAAAGTCAAGCTATCCAGCAGTAACTGCTTGTCACTGAAAATGATACCATAACTTGAGAATATTTTATTTTTAAAAAATAATTTAATTACCTAAATCCCTTCATCACAATATGTATAATTTCCTCCTGTGTATTGATCGTCTTGGAAACAATAATCTACTTGTCATTTTATGAACACAATGTATTTTGTACTTTTCCTTGCAACTATCATTCATTTGACTGATCAAGTTTGTGTACATTGATTTGCTGTTTTCATATTAGACAGATGGACAGAATGCGTGTGTATTCATTGTTGCGTCGTACATAGACGGCAAACCCCCAGATAAGTGTGACTGGTTCTTTAAATGGATGGAAGAAGCCAGCAATGATTTCAGAGTACAGAAGACAATGTTGAAAGGATTAAAATATACAGTCTTTGGTTTAGGAAACTCACTCTATAAAGAAAACTATAACAAGGTATGACAAGACTCCTGTGTGAGGAGAAATTGTAAGAAATATACACGTTGTTTTCAGTACCTGTCACTGTCAAAATGTACATTGTACTTCATAGTGTGAATATGCAATGTAACCCAAGATTACAAACTCAAAAACAAACTGCAAAACAATGCTTTTAAAATTTTTTTATTCATATTATTTTCTACACTTTACCCTGGTAGTTGATTCATGTTTTGAGTACAATGTTTCAAAAATTTGTAACTTCATACTACTGAATATTTGAAAATGTTATTTTGTGATATTTTCTACACTATAGATGATACATGTTTGTAAAATATTTCCAAAATTATTTAAATTTGGTCAGTTGCTTCTTTGTGACACAAAAAAAAAAAAAAAGTTGAATTTCGTAAGATTTCCTATGCAAAAGGAAACTTATAAGAATCGATTTGGGCTTATTTGCATGGAGTGGAATAATTTTATTTCTTGTTTTGCTGCTAGGTTGGTGTAAATCTGGATAAATGGCTGCATACACTAAGTGGTGATAGGATTATGTCGTGTGGTGAAGGCAACGACAATGTAGCTGACAGTAAACATGGAGGTACGCTCATTCACCGTAACAATGTCATCTTATGTGTAGTATCGGTAACTGTATTTCACCCAAAATTTTGTGCACTTCTAACCGACAACTAATATTATTATCATGAATTGAATTGTGATGACCACTGTTGTGTTGAATGCTTAAAATGAAATATTTGAATACACAGACCATATTCTAAATAATATATTGTAGTGGTTATCAGAATCTATGTAGCGGTGTTAAATGTAACAGCAATTGAATACCCAAGCCCCTCCGGGATTTTCAGTCAGCCAAAAAATCAGTCTGTTTTCCCTGAGGCCATAGTTCTCATGGCCAGTCAATGTGTTTATATAGCAACACAACACGACTGATGACACGCATCAAATTCTTGTTTTTACACTGCTGTCTAGGATGTATTGCACAATTGTAAACATTTTGGATTAAAATGCAATTTAAATTGAAATGAACAAAAGAAATGTATATAAAATTAGTTAATATTACATTCAATTTGATATTGTCATCTGTGGCGGCAATCTGAATTTGTATGAGGTGAAATCTACTTGTGATTGATTTGAGAAGCTTGTTAGCTGACTAACCTTTTCTAGCAAACAAAACACCTGTGATATTTATTTTTTTTATTTACTGGTATACTTGTCAGTGCTGCCGGTTAATTTATACCAATTATTTTATTTACCCATACCGTACTCGACCGCGTTAGCGCCCAGGGGCCTCAACTCAGAAAATCACGATTTCTTAGGGGTGGGCGCTTACCCGAGCACCCCCCTCGAAAAAGAGTGCAAATGAAAAAATTGATTCGTCAAGTGACAGATCACGTCTTTGAGGGAAATCAAATTACGAAATTAGTTGAGTCGTCATTGATTTTCACAACGAAGAAACAGAAATGATCACAAAAACTATGCACATTTTATTACAATATTAATTACGTACCACCAGAATTTACGAAATTAAAAACATTTGAGTCTGTTGGAACACAGTCAAAGTCAAAATTGTCATATTATCTCCACTGACGAAGGTGTTGGATCATACGCAAACTCTCGAAGAAAATCACTTTCCGCCAT